ATATATATATGTATATATATATATACATATATATATACACATACCCCACATCTTCTATATCCCACATACCCCACATCTTCTATATCCATTCATCAGTCAGTGGACATTGGGCTCTTTCCATACTTTGGCTCTTGTTGATAATGCTGCTATAAACATTGGGGTGCATGTTCCCCTTCAAATCAGTATTTTTGTATCCCTTGGGTAAATACCTAAACATGCAATTGTTGGATCATAGGGTAGTTCTATTTTTAGTTTTTTGAGGAGCCTCTGTACTGTTTTCTAGAGTGGCTGCACCAGTTTGCATTCCCACCAGCAGTGCAAAAGAAATCCTCTTTCTCTGCATCCTCGCCAGCTTTTGTTGTTGCCTGAGTTGTTCATGTCAGCCATTCTGACAGGTGTGAGGTGGTATCTCATTGTGGTTTTGATTTGTATTTCCCTGATGATGAGTATCTTCATCTCTGGATGTTTTCTTTGGAAAAGTGTCTGTTCATATCTTCTGCCCATTTCTTCACAGGATTATTTGTTTTTTGGGTGTTGACTTTGTAGTTCTTGAACCCTTTATCAGATACGTCATTTGCAAATATCTTCTATTTCGTAGGCTGCCTTTTAGATTTGTTGATTGTTTCCTTCGCTGTGCAGAAGATTTTATCTTGATGAGGTCCCAGTAGTTCATTTTTGCTTTTGTTTCCCTTGCCTCGGGAGACACGTCAGTTAAGAAGTTGCTGTGGCCAAGGTCGGAGAGGTTGCTGCCTGTTTTCTTCTCAAGATTTTGATGGTTTCCTGTCTCACATTTAGGTCTTACATCTACTTTGAGTTTGTTTTTGTGTGTGGTGTAAGAAAGTGGTCCAGATTCATTCTTCTGCATGTTGCTGTCCAGTTTTCCCAACACCATTTAGCAGGTATTTCTTTAACATCTGCTGTCTAAAGCATTGTAATGAGGACAAAAAAAGGATTCAAAGATACTGTGCACAGTGGGGTGGGTGGAGATCCTAGACAGAGGGGATGGCAGGAGCAGAGGCACAGGGAACTATAGGCTATAAGGAGGTACCTAACATCTGTTTGGTGTTGTAACCTCATGATAAGTGAACATGGGTGTCATATTAAGGAATTTGGACTATGGGTCTTCTCTTTGTTTTCTCACTCTTGAGTGCACATTTGAGTCACCAGTGGAGCTTTAAAAAAACAAAAAGCAATGCTTGGAAACCTCCTCCAGAGCTTCTGATTTAATTGTCTGGGGCCTACTGTAAATCATTAGTTAGTTTTTTTGTTTTTTTTTTTTTAAGCTCTCCAGGTGTGCCCCGCTAGCTCAGTGGGTAGAGCATGAAACTCTTAAGTTCCCCAGGTTTTGCAGTATGATGATGTAACTGATGTTTTATTGAGAAGGGGAGGAAAGAGATTGGTACCCAGAGGCCAAGTGGTTAGGAAGGTGACTTGATTGCAAAAGGGAGAAAGGTGATAACATTTTGCAAGGCATGAGACTCCGGGGTGGATGTTTACGTCAACTTTTACATCTGAGCTGAGCCAGAGAGCAGTAGTCTGTGGTTAGACTTCCTTGAACTTAGAGAACAGAACGGGAGACAGAATTTCTAGTGTACAGCAGTAAGTAACCATGTAGATATTTTGGTTTTATTTTGTAGCATTCTATCACATACCGATCCAAAATATGATATAAAATTCAAAAATTCCTGGAAAGTTGTTTCTTTTCTTAACAAAGTATACTTAATCTTCCTGATTAGGTAATTGATGATCTTGAAAGCCCTGATAAGGTCTTTCTGTAAGATGAAAGGTTTTTTTGTGAGTGAGCAAATTCTTAAAGCAAAATCATAAGCAGCTACATGCACCATACCTTATACACATTTTACCTTGTGAACTAATATGATATCCTCTTCTCTTGATTCTTCTCGGCTTCCTGTTTGTGAATATATAGCTTATCTTACTTTACTTTAATGAATATGTGAATGGAGAGGTGCCTGGATGGTTCAGTTGGTTAAGCATTCAGCTCTTGATTTCAGCTCAGGTCGTGACTCACAGTTTGTGGGATTGAGCCCTGTGTTGTCAGCCCAGAGTCTTTTGGGGATTCTCTCTTTGCCTCTGTCTCTGCTCCTCCCCCATAAAGTAAATAAACAGTTGAAAAATTTTAATGGAGTCGGTATTCATTGTACTTACTTTGTAGCAAGTTGAAATGTCATAGTGCAGTGTTTGTGTTAGTCAAAAACTAATGAGCAAGTGGGCCTTTTTGGTATTGCATATGAGAAATAAAACACTTGTTTTTTATGAAGCAGAGTTGCTTTCGTTTGGATAGCAGGGGGAAAGGACACCTCCTTTATTATAGTGCAATACTGTGTAGAATAAGAGTGTGGGCTCTGGAGCCACACTGCCTGCGGTAGAGTCCCAGCTCTAGCTGTTTGATTTGCACAAATTACTTGTTTTGCCTCATTTGTTTCATTTGTACAATGAGGATGGTGATTGCACTCTTCTTCCCTGAGGAGGTCGTTGTGAGTTAAGTGAGAATCCATCCATGGAAAGTACATAGGACAGCATTTGATACACACCCAGTTCATAGTATAAGTGAAGTTCTAGATAAGGAGTATGGTTATCTGTAATGTGCTCCCTAAGCAGTTATTTCTTGGAGTCACTGTTGTTTCCTGACAACTTCTCTTGAGTCCAAATGTTAGGATCTAAAACCAGGCTTTACCTTGAGTATAGTGAGCATATGGAGTGGGTTGGCAGGTAGGTAGGTTTAGGGTCTGACCAGGAGCAGACTAGAGATAGGGGTCCTCTCAAGCAAGGGTCCATAGCAGCCTAAATCCATCTGTAGCTGGCACAAAAACAGACACATAGACCAATGGAATAGAATAGAAACCCCAGAACTAGACCCACAAACGTATGGCCAACTCATCTTTGACAAAGCAGGAAAGAACATCCAATGGAAAAAAGACAGTCTCTTTAAGAAATGGTGCTGGGAGAACTGGACAGCAACATGCAGAAGGTTGAAACTAGACCACTTTCTCACACCATTCACAAAAATAAACTCAAAATGGATAAAGGACCTGAATGTGAGACAGGAAACCAT